ATTATTATCATTAATTAATTATTATCATTTATCATTATTATTATTATCATTATTAATCGATTATCATTATCATTATTATATTATCATTATTAAAGTAATCAAATTATTATCAATTACATTATCATACATTAATCATTATCATTATCATTAATTATTCATTATCATTATTATGCATTATCATATTATCGTTATTATCGATCATTTATTATATTATCGATTATTATCATTATCGATTATTATGCATTATCATTATTTCATTATCATTATTATCATTATCATTTATTATCATATTATCATTATTATCATTTATTGAGTTATTATCATTATCATTTAATTATTAATGAGATCATATCATTATCATTATTATAATTATCTTATTATCATTATCATTATTATCATTATCATTATCATCATTATCATATTACATTATCATATCATTATTATCATTATCATTTAGTTATCATTATCATTATTAGCATTATCATTATTATCATTATCATTATTATCATTATTCATTATTATCATTATCATTTTAATCATTATCATTATTATCATTTTAATCATTATTATCATTATCATTATATATTCATTATCATTTAATTTATCATTATCAATTATTATCATTATCATTATTATGCATTATTCATTATTATCAAATTATCATTATTAATCATTATCGGTTATTATCCATTATCATTATATCAATTATCATTATTATCAGTTATCATTATTAATCATTATTCATTATCATATATTATCATTATATTATTCTTCATTTATCTTATATTATTACATTATATTATAATATTATCATTATCATTATCATTATTTCACTTTATCACTCTATTTATCAATTATCGATTCTATATCCATTATCATTATTAATCATAATCTTAATATTTCATTTGATCATTTTCATTTATCAATTATCATTATCATTTTATATTATTAATTTATCATATATTTATCATGTCATTAAGATTATCAATTAATCATGTAATTATTATCATTATCATTATTATCATTTCTTAGTTATCATTATCATGTATAATTTATCATTATATTATCATTATCATATCATTATTTCATTATATTATTATATTATCATGTATTAACATTAATTATCATTATCATTATTATCATTCATTATTATCATTATCTATTATTAATTAGTATTATCATTATCATTATTCATCATTATCATTATTATCATTATTTTATTATAATTATCATTATTATTAATTATTATTCAATTATTATCTTTATCAATTATTATTCATTATCATATTATCAAATTAATCATTATCATTATCATTATCATTATTTATCATTATCATTATATATTATATTATTATATTATTATCATATCATCTATTCATTTCTATTATTATATTATCCATTATTAATTCATGTAAATCATTATTATCAATATCATTATTATCAATTATCATTTTATGATTAATTATCTCATTATAATTGATTATTATCTATTATTATTATCATTATCATTATTATACATTATTATTATCACTATTATCATTATCATTATTATCATTATCATTATTGATCATTATCATTATTCATTTAGATTATCATTATATCATTAATCATTATTATCATTATCATTATATAATGTATCATTATTATATTATCATTATCATTATTACATTTCATTATTATCATTAACATTATTATCATTATCATTATTAATCTTATCATTATATCATTTTATTATTATATTTATGTAATCATTATCATTATTTATTATTATGCATTATCATTATTATCATTTATTATGATTATATTTCATTATTTTATCTGATCTATTATTATTATACTTATGCATTATCATTATCCTCACTTTATATTTTATTAATATATCTATTTATCATTATTATCATTATTTATTCATTATCATTACATTATTTATCTATTATCATTATATATCATTATCTAGATTGTCATCTATTATCATTTCATTATTCATCATTTATCATATATTATCATTATCAATTACTTATCATTATATTTTATTATCTTAATCACAATTAAATTAATATATTTATCATTATCATCATTAATTATTTTATATATATACATTATTATTATTTAATCATATTTATCATTATTATCATATTACCTTATTATCATTATCATCTATTATTTCATTCATCTCATTATCAATTATCATTATTATGCATTATCATTCACTCATTATTGATCATTATCATTATCATTATTGGCATTATCATTATCATCTATCATTATAACTCATTTATTATCATTATTATCATTATGATAATTATCATTATCAATTATTTATCATTATGCTGATTATTATCCATGTATCTTTATTATCATGACTCATATGTATCATTATCCTTCATATTTTTATCATCTATTATTATTATTTCATTATCATTATTATCATTATCATTATCATCATTATTGATTCATTTAATTTACTTCATCTAATCATTATTATTATTATTATCATTATTATCATATCACTCTAATCATTTATTATTATATTATCTAATACTCTATTATTTAATCATCTATCCATTATTATCATTATGCCATTATTATCTATTACATGATTATCATTATATTATTATTATCATTATATTATCATTTGCATGCAATTATTTATTATCATATTATTATTATTAATATTATTATCATTTATCATAGGTGTCATACTCTCTATACATAGGATCATTTACTTATTACTCCTGGGATCATTCCTTATCTTCATGGATCATTTATTTATTTATGGACATTATTCATTCCATTAGAATTCCATTATTCTCAAGATGTTCATTCAATCCTCATTTCCATAATCATCATAATTCATACCATTATCATCGATATATCTATCATTCATCTTATAGTATCATACGGGATTCAATATCATTCATCGGTCTTACCATACATTCAACGGTTATACACACTAATTTATCACACACAATGAACACAACATCCGCCACTCTCAACTACTCACATATCCATCACAAAAATCCGATCACCTAACATGTCCTACCACATCTCGCGCTGGTCGCTCTTCACCGCCAGCACTCTATACACCGCGCACAGCTTAACTCTTAACCTCGCACTCTCACCTTACTCCCCCCCACCCCGCCCCCAATAATCCTCATCCTTTTCACATACTCAACAACAAACCACTACAAATACTCATCTCTCTCTCTCTCTTCTTCGTCCGCTTCTCACTTCTCTCCAGTCGCCTTTCTGGTGTCTCTATCGTTCGCAAGGCTAAGAGTTTTGCACTCCTCTAGATTTATATATCTTAGGATAAGAAACAAGCATGGTCCCTAATACCGCATCTAGACAAACATTTGAGCCTCAGTGATAATTATAGCCTTGATTGTTCATTTCATGGTTTATTCACTGTCACTATTGCTTACTGTAATTCGCATTACACCAATGTCAAGTTCGACAAACACTTCACTAATGATTTGCGGATGATATTGCAAATTAACATTTAATACTCAAAAAAAATTTAACAACTAAGTTTAAAAATATAATTATTTATAGAGGAAGATGAAAAATGGTGGAAAACAATAAGAAACAAAATAAAGGAACAAATTCAGTGTACTCATTGGTTAAATATGAAATAAATATGTTTTCGGATACTTACGGTGGCTTCAATTTATAATTAATGTATGCTCTTAAAGATTAGAACGGATACGATTTGGCATTTTTACGGGATTGTTTACGCTTTGATTTACATCTGGGCAATTGGTTCTTTCGTATTAATCTATCCTAGGAAGACTGTTATTTGTCTATGGATTGTTTGGTTCTATTTAATAAATCCTTGGATTTGGAAATTTCCTCTTCTTCAAATTTTTATACGGAGAAGTATTTCTTATGTGTCGAGAGACACCATTTAACTATCCAATAGATCAGGGGCACAAATCTGGTATTATGAGTAGTTTCTAATTGATAAATATTGTTAGTATATATATTTTCTCTACGCTAATGTTATCTGGTCCTGGTATTGACAGCATCTTTCATTTTATAGCACAAACTGAAGCTACAGAGCCATTGTCTGTTGTCCAAATATTCGCAAACTATTCCGCATAATATGAAAGGATATAATTGAGTTTATCATAAATGAAGGAATTCAATTATTGATTCTCAAAATATACAAAGTACTTATTTTGAGCTATTTCACTGTTACTATCCTTCTTCGAAGGAATATTTATGTATTTTGGTTTTATAGATCTATTAAGAATTTAACTCGAGCGTCTCAACTAATGTTATTACTGAGGTGATTGGCAAGTTAATTTTTGAGTTCACCTGATAATACGATTCTGAATCCAATATTTCATTTATAGAGATAACTAAATTACGTTTCGTACGTTGTTAATGATTATAAATTTAATTTTTTTCATCTTACTCGGAATCATCCAACCTATTTAAGGCACGTGGGACATTCAAGGATATAAGTTCCGCTTCTGTGGTTTTACCTGGCCAAGACACAACCACACTCTTGGTCTGCTCACGCCCGTAATTCTTCTTACTCATGTCCGGTCACTCCTTTGGCGGACCGCCATACATACCACGGCTGGTCGCATACTCCCAATGTAGTTCAACATAGAATTATGAGCACTCGAGTCCTGTGGCGGAGCTCCTAGGCAACTTTCGTGTATCTTTCCTTTTAGTCCACCTATTCGCGTGGGAGTTCATCGAGCTGGATGGCTGAATCTTGTGCGGGCGATGTTTAAGTTGTCAGCGGAACTTTGGGATTTATATAGAAATAGAATTTGCATGGGGTGGTTTTGTGAATGTTAATGGGTGGGTTGGGTTGAAAATTGATAAATGGTTTTACTTTTGGTAGGTTTGGATCGGGTTCTTTGGTGGGGATATGGGGTGTAGTTTAGAGTCTGGTTGGATGGTAGATCGTGTTCAGGAGATGCAGTTGGGATATGAAATACCAGATTTTAGGTGGTGTAAGAGAGCAATCGTACATAGTGGAAGGGTCTGAGATGAGTAAGGTTTGAGTGATTGTGGAAGAATATATGTGTGGTGTCATTGTTGTTGGGTAATGATGATATAGTGGGTTGAGATGTTGGTTTGATGATACATATAAACGTGTGGTCGGATAGAGTTGCGCAGTAGCACATACCGTGTGTGTGTACTGGATGGGTGGTGGGATAGAGTGGATAGATGTCGTATAGGTGTGATGGTGGTGGTGGTTAAACTTTGATTTGATTTTAGTAGTTGGGCTCGGGGTCTGATGATCGTGGTGAGATAAGGTTAGGTTATGAATGATGTTTTAGGATAGGTTATTGTGTGTGAATTGATAGGTTATAGGTTTCTTATGGTGGTGATGCAATTATAGGTCTGGTAAAAGTGTGAATGTCCGTCAGGTGTAGGGGGTACGGTGTGTATTTTATGGTATAGGCTTGTGTGATTTGGATAGGTTTGAGTTGGTTCCTTGTTGGGTAGAGAACTTTGATTTTTGGTGGTGGTGTTATTTATGTAGAATTATGGTGGGTGGATGGTGATTTCGCACTGTTGGTGTGTTGACCGTGGTCAGAGAGTGAGTTGTCGCAGAAGATGGTCGAGTCAATAATAGGGGTCGGATTAGGTGCGTGTGATTGTTCAGCAAATGTCTGATGTATTTCGATTGTATGTGCATACGGCTCGATATACATCAGATCGGTGGTGGTTGTATGGTGGTGGTGGGTGGTGGGTGGTGTGGTCGCGGCATTGTGCTGGTGGGTAGGATGAATGTATTTGGGAGGTGGTCTGGATATAGAATATTCGACTTAAGGGCTCGTGATTGGGTGATAATTAGATGGTTGGTATGCGGTGCTGTTTGAATAGAATGGTTGGGCTGCAGTCGGATGCATCGCGATCGCGGTGGGTGGAAATTTTAAGATAGATAGATCGCTTTTCTCGCGGTTGCGTCGGCTGTTATTGATGCTTACTTTTGGTGGTGGTGATGATTGGCGGGGTGATGGTGGTTTATGGTGAGTTGGGATGGAAGGTGGTGGATTGCGGGTTGGTGGATTCAACTAGGGTGAGATTGGTTGCATCTGGGGAATTGCGATATTTTCGTGTTGGGTTCAATATATGTTGGGTGAGATTTGGTTGTAGTAGTCAGGTTGGTTACTCGTTTGGTGATGATGAGTGGTGGTGGGTGGTGGTGGTCTGGTGGTGAGTGATGGTCGTTGATGATTGTAACATAATTCGGATAGTGGTGGTTTGAGATGGTGAGTCGGTGTGGTCGAGACTGGTGTGGTAGAGATAAACGAGTTAATGGTGGTGTGTGGTGGTGAGATATGGGTAGATTGGACGTTGGAGTTTGGTATGGTCGGATGGGCTGCATGTGGTAGGTGGTGGTGAGGTCTTAGTTGAATGGTGGATTTGTATAGAGATTTTTGGTGGTAGAATCGCGTTGAGTGAAAGATATGGATTAAAGGTGGCACTGGATTTGGTTGGTTCGTACCAAATTGGATGATGTTGTTGGATCGCATGGCTCGCTATTTGGCTTTCCGCATTGACTTCGGTTAGATACCTGTGTACTAGAGAATTTGATATACTTGGATAGATAAGATAATTTTATGTCGCTAATGAGGTGATATGGAGCATCAAGATAATGTAATCAACAAAGGGGTTAAGCCTATTTTCTGCATATCAATTACGTAGGCTGTATGGTCAAACTCTGGGATGGGTAGTGTGCATTCGGTTGGTTGATGTGGTAACGCTGATGGTAAGTGGTGATGAAATCTCGGCGATGAGGGCGGGATGAGACTAGTGATGGGATCGGCAGTGGGTCTGATCTGTGAGGGTGGTTTAAAGTAGTCTAATGACCTAGAGATGTCAACAAGAATGAAATAATAGGCTGATTATCAAGAGGGTAGATACAAGTAGTGAGAAATCACTGTAATATTGGGTGGATAAAGATACACACTCAAATGAAAAGTGATGATCTATGGAACGCATAGACAGGGGGGAACACTTAATTGCCAAGAAAAAATAGGCACACGAATTTTGCAAAAAAGCAATGAAAAATGATATGAACTGGAAGCTAAGTTACATAAAAAGATAATATCTGAAGGGTAATCTTTATTTTAGATCGGTGGCAATATTGTTTCAATGTACTTGGTCACATAGGAATAGACTCATAAGATGAGGATAGTTGTGTAATTCATAAAACATATAGTAGGGTCATAGGCTAGTGCGTAGCACCTATGCATATGTAACAAGATAAAGTACCAAACGGGCAACAATGTTAGAACTAATCCTAAGATGTGGACGTACAGCGCTCTAGGGCTTAAATTAAGTTAAGAAAAAAAGTTTTCCATTGGCGCTAAGCGAGACACCTGAAGTACCAAACAATACACAGACATAAAAAAAGCGAGACAAAGAGAAAGAAAGAAAAAAAAATGTTGCAGACAGTGAAGATTGCACAGTCCCATGACACTTCTACTCTATTCCCTTGCAACACTGCCATTGTTCCAGGAAAATTGCCATGCATGTAAGCGACGGTGCAGCTAAGATTAAACTGATGCTTGATTTACTTAGAATATTAAGTAAAAACCTAAGGTAGAAGAAGAAGGACAAGGAGGAGAAGAAGAAGAAGAAGAAGAAGGAGAAGGAGAAGGAGAAGGAGAAGGAGAAGGAGAAGGAGAAGGAGAAGGAGAAGGAAGAAGAAGGAGAGGAGAAGGAGAAGGAGAAGGAGAAGGGAGAAGGAGAAGGAGAAGAAGAAGAAGAAGAGGAAGGAGAGAAGGAGAAGGAGAAGAAGAAGAAGAAGAAGAAGAAGAAGAAAAGAAGAAAATATACAGACAAAAAAATATATGTAAACATGGAACATAACCCTAGAAGAGAAGAAGAAGAAGAAGAAAAGACGTCAAAGGAAGAAAGAAAGAAGAAAGAAAAAAAGAAAAGAAGAAAGAAGAAAGAAGAGAAGAAGAAAGAAAAGAGGAAGAGGAAGAAGAAGAAGAAGAAGAATGAAAAATTAAAAGAAGAAGAAGAAGAAAGAAAAGAAAAAATATATATACAGAAATAAAAAAAAAAAAAAATGTAACATGGAACATAACCCTAGAAGAAGAAGAAGAAGAAGAAGAAAAGAAGACGTCAAGGAAGGAAAAGAAAGAAAGAAGAAAAAGAAAAGAATAAGAAGAAAAATATATATATATACACAAATAAAAAATAAAACACAAAATATAACATGGAACATAACCCAATATTGCAGGAAGTTGCAACAAAGTTGTTGTCGGAACATAAACTAAATTCTGTCTAGTGGTAAAGTCAGATACGATACGAATGTTTAATTCTCCTATTGTGTTCCTCTCCCTATCTTTATTCTTTAATCTGCTTCTCTCTCTTTCTTTCTGTTTTTGATGTTTTTCTCATTTTGTTTTTCACTCTTATCTTTCTCCTTCTGGTTATCCATATTCTTTTCTTCTCATTTTCCGTTTCTCTTACTCTCTCTCTCTTACTCTTTATCTTTCTATCTCTTTCTCCTCTTTCTCTCTCTTCCACCTTTTACTCTTCTCTTCTCCTGTCTCCTATCTTTACCTTTCGTTCGTCTCAACCCTATTCTATATTTTTTCCTCCTCCCATTTCTCCTTTCCATCCTCTCATTTTCACCCTTCCCTTTATCGTCATTTCTCCCTATTCCCATTTCATCCCTTTATTCTTCCTTTCCTCTCTCTCTCTCTCTCCCCTCTGTTCCCTCCTTTCACCCTTCAATTCGCACCATTACTCTCCTATCTCCCACATCATCCTCTTTTCTCTCCCATTCCCTTCTTTTCACTCTTCAGTTCACCCCATTTCTATTCTGTCTCTTCCTTCTTTTTCTTCCACCGTTCGCTTCTCCACCGTCTTTCTTTTTACCTTCCTTCGTCCCACTTTTATCCTTTTTATCCTTCTCTTTCATTCTATCTCTTTCTATTCTTTTTTATCCTTCCCTTCCATTCTATCTCTTTCTATTCCGTCTCTTCCTACTTTTTCCTCCCTTTTCCTCTTCGCTTTTCCCATTCCTTCTCTTCATCCTCCTATTCTTCTTCTCTTATCCTTTCATCATTCCCTCCTATCCCATCCATGTTTACCCTTCAGTTCGTTCTATTTCTGCCTTCCTTTCTTTTCACCTCTTCCCACCTTCCTTCCTTTTATCCTTCGTTTTTCCTATCCCCTCTCCTCGTTCCTAATTTTTATCCTTCGATCCTTCCCTCTCCTATCCTTCTCTCTCCTCCTATCCTCTCCTATCCTTCCTTCGCCCCCATTCTCATCCACTCTTTTTACCCCTCGCTTCTCCTATCCCCTCCCTTCGCCCCTTATTTTCATCCTTTGATCCTATCCTATCCTCTCCCATCCACCCTTTTCACCCTCCAGTGCGTCCCATTGCTCTTTCATCTCCCGAGACACATAAACCCATAACAACACCCTTTAAGGAGGCGTTTTACACACTTCCTCCTTGAAGACGCCTTAAGGAGGGAGATTCTTCCTTGACGCGAGCTTAAGATGTTTCCCTGAGACGCTGGGAGGAATTTGGAGATCGAGAAGTTTTTATTTCTCTTTCTCTTTTTTTTCTCGGTCTCTTTATTCTCTACTTTGTTTTTTCGTTCTTCTTTTTTCTTATTATTATTTTCCTGTGTTTTGTCTCTCTTACTTTCTTTCTTTCTTTTCTTTTTTTCTTATATTTTCTTTGTCTCTGTTCTGTCTCTCTCTCTCTTTCTCTTTATTTTTCTTTCTTTCTTTCTCTGTGTCTGTCTATTTTATATTTATTTTTCTGACTATGTGTCTATCTTTGTCTCTTTCTCTTTATTTTCTTTTCTTTTTTTATTCGCTGTCTCTTTCTCCTTCTCTCATGCTGTATACGGTCGAATTTCTTGGAAAAGAGCTTGTTAATGTGTTCCTTATGGCCTTCACGAGCCTGATAATTATCCTCAGGCTGAAGAAAACACAGACAGACTAATGGTTTCTTAGGATGCTTCAAAATCCTTATAATTCCACTTTCTTTGTTTCTCCCCTTCCTTCCTTTTTTCTGTCTACGGTCTTTTCTATTTCTCTCTGTTCTTCTTCCGCCCTCCTTCCCTTGGTTCCTCTATCCTTCCTTCGTTAATTTCTGCTTTTCATCGTCTTGGTGCATTTTTCTTTTCTTTCTCACTTCCTTCCTTCTATCTTTCATTCATTCATTCCTCCCTCTTATCACCAACGCCTTTGGTATCGTCCTTCTCCATCTTCTTGCTTCGCTTTCCACTGCTCTCTCTCTCTCTCTCTCTCTCTCTTTCTCTTTGTTCACTCATATCTGTTCTAGTTCTTGTAATTGTATTTTTTTATCTCTCTCCCTCTAATTCCCTCCCTCCCTCATTCCTTCCTTCCTTCCCTTCTTCTTCCCTCCTTCCTTCCTTCCTCCTTCTCTCCCTACCTCTTTCCCTCCCTCTCTCTTCCATCCCTCTCTCTCTCCATCTCCTCTCTTTCTCCGAAGCCTCTTACCCCACCCCCGCTTTCCCCTCCCCTCCCCCATACCCCCCCCCTTGGCCCCCCTTTCAAAACACTGACGAGAACCAGAATTATCAGTATAATTTTTTTTTCTTTTTTTTTCCCTTCTCCTCCAAGGCATCCGACACAATAAGAAATTTTGCCATGAGGAGCCTGCAGAGTCTTGAGGGGGCCATGAAATGCTTGCGAAGATAATAATATTTGCAACAATGGCAGAAATAGAGGAAAATAACAACAGCGATGTGTAGAAAAAAAAACTAAGTAAAATATAATGAAATAAACATGTATATATATATAATTATATTATATGTGTGTGTGTGTGTGTGGTGTGTGTGTGTGTGTGTGTGTGTGTGTGTTGTGTGTGTGTTGTGTGTGTGTGTGTGTGTGTGCGCGCGCGTCTGTGTATGTATGTATGTATATATATATATATATATATATATATATATATATATATATTATATATATAATATATATTAATTCATTTATAAGTTGAAATGAAAAAGGCAGAAGTCTAAGTGAAGATCCTGATAACGGCCATTAAACTTGCAATAAGCCCCTTGCAACCGGCTGCAACAAAAGTAGGACGTATTATACATCGCTGAGAAAGAGGAGACTTGCATTTCCTTCCTTTACTTAATGCGACTGTATCTCCATTATTCTCCTTTCTTGTACCTCGTGGGTGTGTGTCCGTGTGTTTGTAATAGTTTATTTGTATTGTCCAGGCATATTCGAGCCTTATTCGGAGAATTTTTTTATTATTAGATAGATATCATACTGTTTTATCATGTTTTTTTTTATTCTTATTCTTATTGTTATTGTCATTAACATTAGTATAACATTAATCTTTATCATAATTAGCTTTATCGTTACTAGTAGTTTTATTGTGTTGATGGAAAATCCTTTAAAAATTGCTTGCATAGTCATTCCTTCAATTTGGACTAAACCTCACTAGTACCCCCTATAAAATATTTAAATATTTAAAAGTAAATAAATAAACAAAAAGAGAAAATAAGAAAAAAACAGACATTCCATAAACAATTAAACTGTCAAACGCAACAGCAAAAACATCTCAAGTCTTCCCCTTTTCTTAAGAAAAGTGAAAAAAAGAAAAAAAGAAAAAAAGGAAGAAAAAGCTATTAATACACCTGCCAAAATCAACAACTGGCATCTCTCACAATAACCCGAGGATGTAGGGAATCACACATAGAACCGCATAAGAACACATACTGAAGTTCTCGCTTGTTGTGCATCTATAACCTTAAAAAAAAAAAACAAAACAAAAAGTGCTGCCTCATCTTGTTACAAAATCACAAATATCTCTTTTTCATGATTTTGTCGTTGTTGTTGTTGTTGTTGTTGTTGTTTTCGTATCGTTAGCATAAAATGAATTTATGAATCCAACTCTTATTATTAAATCATTATAATCTTATCAATTATATCTTTATATACGTTAACAGTGTTCTTTTAACACCAAATAATCTTCTTTCTTGTTTTTGTTATTTAAACCTATATAAATCTTACCATTATATCTTTATATACGTTAACAGTGTTCTTTTAACACCAAATATCTTTCTTCATTTTTGTTATTTAGTCCAACAACAGAAGGGGAGGGAGGTGGTGGGGGGGAAGGGGGGGATGGTAGGGGAGGGGGAGGAGAGGGGGAAGGGTGAATGGAGGGGGGAGGAAGGGGGGAAGGGTGGGGGTAGGGGGTTCATGTGTATATGCAAAATACCTATAAAAATATACAAGAGATGAAACTTATATAATATCATAAGATGAGGAAGGAGAGAGCAAAATAAATAAAGAGATAAGAGAAAAACGAAATGAAAAAGAAGAGAAAAACGAACAAACAAGATAAATAAGATAGAGAGAAGAAAGAGAGAAAACGAACAAACACTAAGACAAAGAAGCAAGAGAGAGAGAGAGAGAGAGAGAGAGAGAGAGAGAAAGAAAGAAAGAAAGAGAAGAAAGAAAAGAAGAGAAAAGAAAGAAAGAAAGAAATTAAGAAAGAAAGAAAAAAA